GGCCAAAGTCGGGTAAGGAAGACGAGATCCACGGATCCGGGTCAACCTGAACCCAGAACCCGGGAGAGCCAGCCCGTTTCCCCCCTTGGCCTCTGCCTTCGACCCAGCCCAACTACAGCGGCCCAAACCTCAAACCGGCCCAGAAGCTACGGTTCAGTTGAACCAACTCAGACTAGACCCACGGTCCAATTGAGCCGGCCTGCAAACCAAACACTTGCGGCCCAGCCCAGTAAGCCGAGGCCCAACGTTTAGCCTTGGCCCAGTAGCCTTCCACAGCCCGCGACCCGAACCACGACCCGAACCGGACTGCGACCCGCGCTTCGACCCGACACTACCGCCCGACGTGGTTTTCTCTGCTGCTGCCACGTGTCACACAGCGGCGCGGCAGTCCTCGGCTCGGCTCGGCGCAAACGGCTCGGGCTCCCTCCGGTGACGCTCCGGCGGCTCCTCCGGCGGCTCCAGCGGCTGTTCGGCTCGGCTCACCTGTTTTCAGCCCGGTTTCCACTGTTCCGACCCTCCCGAATCTGTTTTCGGCCCCGATTAAGGTATCCGAGGCCGTTTCAGAGCCGTATTTCACATTTATTAAATTATAGGTAAATTAATTGTGAAATACTAACGGAAAGTGGTGGACGGTGTGATAGGAAACAAACCCCGAGGACGTAGGGAGCGGCTCTCACGGAACGGGAGCTTACGTTTAGCGATTTAGGGAGTACTTCGGCCAAGGCCAACCAAGTAAGTGGCCTTACTATAGGATAGGCTAAATAATTGTATGAGTTATGATGATGTGTGGATTATGATGCTTGATGATATGTGCGGTATATACATATTTTGTTGAGTGACGCTTGATATGTTTGACGCACGTTGTGGCATTATGATGAGCATGATGATTGCATGATTTTTACCTTAATATGATGATGCTTTCCATATTGAGCATGCTAGATGATGATGAGTGCCATATTGCATCATGTCGTTAGATCGACGTAGGACACAACCCTAAGAGCATGAAAATGATATTAATATAAATATCCACGAGTATGCGTTACCTAGAGTAACAAAGAGATGAGACTAGAGGGTTGTGTCAGAAGAGACATTACGATGGATTTAGAGGGACCTCATGCATTTTGTATGTTCATAAGCATAGGGCTACTTCCCCTAGAGATGATGAGTGCGGACGCGCACCTTATGATGAGCGCGAATGCGCACAGGTGCGAAAGCACACAGATGAGGGTGTTCATGAGGCGCATGACACTATGGGGTTCCGCTGACCTCCGGACGTCGCTACAGATTAGCTTGACCAAAGGGTCCAGGGGGTGTGCGAGCGCCCTGGGGATTCACACTCGCACGTGTGAGTCGTGTGTAGGGAAGTACTACACATCCAATTTTTCGAGACTGGAGGCCACCCCTAAGATGATTAGAGATAGGTCCCTAAATCATGGTTGCATGTGTTTGCATTTGCATGGCCCCTATAGCGGGGCCACTTACTGAGTATTCTTTGAAATACTCAGGCCGTGTGCCACTTCATTTTTCAGGTAAAGGCAAGGTGCACTTGTACGGAGGACGGCGGCATCGCGAGTAGAGACTGTGGCACGTGCATAGGGTAGACTCATATTTAAATTTCTAGTCTTAAGTTAGAATAGGTTATTTTGCATTCCATTGTTTTAAATTATTTTGTATTTGTTTTTGTTTTCTCTAAATTTCAGTATTTCATATTTAAACACGTAAGACATGGCTGTGTTTTTCAGAGAAGAAGTTGTTTTAAACGTTTTTTTCTGAAATTTTCGTTATCAATTATGTTCATGTAGGAGTTATATTTCCGCATTATAGATGAGCATGAGACGTTAGTAGCGACTCTGAGTATGTGGAAATTTAGGGTCGTTACAGTTGGTATCAGAGCTCTAGGTTTTAGATTCTGTAGACTAGCCTACAATGTAGGCTTGGCACGTTCCATGGTCCCAACGTCGATGCCCCGTCACCGTCAGGTACGCCTTGCACAAGATAAGAAAAGGGAAACGATCGAGGTAAAGGTAAGACACCCATGTACGATCGAGGCGACGTCGCATCAAAGACCATGAATCCTGCGTTAGGGTAGTTGCATTTTATTTCGTAGATATTAGGATAGTCTAGGACATCATTTTAATCTTTCTCTTTGGTATAATTTTATTTTGCATTGATTATCTCTAGTTGTTTTATCTTAAGACTCTTATGCAATTGTATAATTCCATGACATCGTTTTATGAAATTATTTTAAATAAATATTTCAGCATAGAAAGGTCACGTCATACATATAGTAGCGACTCTATTTCAAATAGGAATTAGAGTCGTTATAGGTTTCATGCTAGAACATAAAAGTCATTCTCATGCTCTAGTGAAATGCTTTGTAGTAACATGGTCCAACCTAAAAATCATTTAGACTAACATCCATCTACCAATATGGGTGAAGATGATGTCGGCACTACAATTGAGAAGGGATATTAGCCATGAAGAACCTGCGCTCGCTACTGTTGCCATAGTTGAATAGGGGAGCTCAAGTGAGCTAACTCCAACAGAAACCTCATAGTCACTATAGAAATACCATGATGTCAGATCAAAAAGTAATACAAAGGATTTATCTCCATTTGAGCAGATAGATTACGAGATTGATTTTATGTCGAGGGTAAGATCGATTACCATAGAGGCGTGTCATACGACTTAACTTGAGCTAGCTGAGTTTCACTAATAGATAAATGACTTGTTAAAAGTCGAGTCCATTAGACCCGCAAAGACTCCTGTCCATGGTCACCAAAATGTTGGAAAGATACCAATTGAGTGGTAGAGGATGTCACAGTTATACTTGTCTAAGAAATGTTGTTTGTGGCCAAGTGTCGAATGACTGCTAAGAAATGTTGTTTGTGACCAAGTGTCAAATGTTTCAGTCATGCTTGTCTAGGACATGTTGTCCATGACCACATACTCATTCCAAACCTCTTTTACTTGTTTTCATATATAGGTAGGTCTTTACTACTCTGTCGTGTTAATATGGGGGTGTTCATCAAAATCGCGTCTACATTCACTAGGGCTAAAATACCCCAAAATGTACTATAGGAGATGTGACTAGTCGTCAATTCTTTCTATTCGAGTTATATGCTATCAAAGTTGTAGTTGTTTATTTGCTTATAGCCTATAACATTGCTTTCTTACAAATTATATTCAACGCATTTTCTTACTCATGTTTTCTAAAACACATTGTCTAAAATATGACCGAGGCTCAATCATACATCCAAATTATCTACCGCTTATGATTTCTATTCGGCTGACTTGTTTGCTGGGTTAGAATAAGTGTCGCACAATCGCTATCTCACTGCCACTAGAGTGTGATTATGACACAATGTAGACTCAATATGGCAAGAAAAATCCACACCAATCTCCCTATTCAAATTGAGCAAAGAAAACCAGCAAAAAGAATAGGGTTCTTGGTCGTCATCAAATAAGTAACAGATATAGCAAGAGCACTCCTGTAAGAGTCAAATGGATCCCAGTCATGAATTGGCTAAGTCTCATCGTAGTGGGAGAGTTACGAGACACCTCAAATTTTACAAAGACTTAAATAGGTCAGTCATAGAATCTACATACTCCATCTCAATATGGCAGCGTAGATCTTCTTGATGGAGCTGAACTCATAGAATATAAATAGATCTATATTGATTTTCAAAGTAATACTAATGACAAAGAATTGAACTTAACCGGAGAAAGTAAAGTGGAATTAAACTCTCTCTTGTTACCTTCTAGTTAGAATTATGAGATCCAACTACAAATCAAACCGAACATTCCAATGGGTCAAAAGTAAAACAACCAACCACTACTTTTGGTTGAATATTAGATGTGATAAGCGGAAGGGATTGATTAGCTGACCCATGAAGTCGAAAAGTACACTCTCCAAATATGATATCACGCAAGTCTCTAAATTTGATGTCATTGAGGTTTACCTCTACTCACATGACGAGTCCACACGACCTTTGTGGCCTACGGAAAAATGTGATGAGAAACTTTATCTAAGAGAGCAATAGCAGGATTGAAATGACACACCCAATATTCAAGCAAAAGTAGTGGTTAGTAAACTTATAAATATTATATAAATCAAATTCAAGATTAAAATTTATATACATAATGTTCTTACAAAATCTCGATTGTCCATTTAAAAATTATTAGTGCATTTAAATTAGAGGGTGTAAATTGATTAGTTTATGAGGGGGTAAGAGTTTAATTGCTATAATTATAAGCTTGTACATGTATGAACTAATATTTTTCAGATTAAATTCTGCAATCTAACGCAGAATTTAGACGCGTCTGAGATTTGAATGATAAATTAATGGAACAGGATAAAAAATAATTTAAAAAAATAAAATAAAAGGAGATTTTCACAAATTGAGACAGAGAAGTTATTTTCTGAAAATATTAGGGAAAAAGTAAGGAATTGATTAGTGAACAGTAATGGTGAAACATAGAACTCCAAAAAGGAGAAAAGAAAGAAGGAAAGTAAACCCATCATTTTAGGGATTAAGGATCTAAACTTCTCTCTGCTCAATTTACAGTAGAGAGAGAGAGAGACAGAGAGATTCCAGATTTGGATTTGAGGCTGACTTTCTGAGGCGCCGGAACAGATCTTCGCTATTCCTATTGGCTCCTTCCACTTTCTCGCAGACAGACACCCCAACAGAGCCCACAACAACCACCACACTCCACCGCAAACAATCCGCAATTATGTATCACTCCAATTCACTCCCAACTTTTCCCTCTTTCTCCTCTCCTTTTCCACTCTGATTCACTCTCATGCCTGCTTTTTCCCTCCACATCACTCCCCTTTCCCAATTTCTCCCTCCAATCCATCGTTTTCTTCATGGGATTTTCTTGCTTCTTACTTCTTGGTATTCGCTTTCCTATTCTACTGTTTTTTCTTTTCGGTATTGGGTTATGTTAATGATATGAGAATCCTAGGATTGATTGATTGATTTGGGGGGGGGGGGGGATTTGGGGTTTTTTGTTTTTCACTTTTTTACGAATTCTAGTGTACTTGGCAATTTATGTCTACTGTTTTTGCTGGATTTGTAGTGAGAAAATCCCTGTCTGAAGTGCTTCTGCTGGTTGCTATGGTGGGAGATGATTCTTAGAATTGAGAAATGGGGTGTTTGGTTAGCCGACAGGCGTCTTCTAGAAGTGTAGAACCCCCTGTAGATAACGGGAAGAGGAATCAAATTACTGAGCCTGGTGTCCAAGTCGAGCATGTACAGGAAAAAGAACTAGAGCATGTTAATGCTAATGTAGAGGAGCATGCAAATGTGAGCAAGGAGGAGGAGCAGAAGGCTGATGGTGGTCAGGATCGGCCACGAGCAGAGCGGCGGAGGTCGAGGAAGGTTTCAAGGCCTGTTAACCTGCCAAACCATTCCCAGGGAGAGCAAGTTGCTGCTGGATGGCCATCTTGGCTCACAGCAGTTTGTGGGGAGGCTCTCAATGGTTGGATTCCAAGGAAGGCTGATACGTTTGAAAAGATTGATAAGGTGGGCAATCGACTAAGTAATAAGATCCTCCTGTAATGCATTCTTGCTTTCGTTCTTTGTTTTTTTTTATACACTCCATTTACAGGCTTCTAACATGATTCTTTTGGTTGTTAGATTGGACAAGGAACGTATAGCAATGTGTATAAGGCTAAAGATATACTTACAGGTAAAATTGTTGCACTGAAGAAGGTTCGATTTGACAATCTGGAACCGGAAAGTGTGAAATTTATGGCTAGAGAGATTCTAATCCTTCGGAGATTAAATCATAATAACGTTGTGAAATTGGAGGGGTTGGTCACATCGCGGATGTCTTGTAGTTTATACTTGGTGTTTGAGTACATGGAACATGATTTAGCTGGTCTTGCTGCAAATCCATCAATCAAGTTTACGGAATCTCAGGTTAGCTTATTGTTTTTTTGTTTCTTTAAGTTTTCCTATCCAAACTGAACATCGGTACAGTTGTAATAATTCTTTTGTTGAAAACATGCTTATTTATAGGTTAAATGTTTCATGCAACAACTGCTATCTGGACTGGAACACTGTCACAATCGTCATGTGCTTCACCGTGATATTAAAGGATCTAATCTTCTCATTGATAGTGGGGGAGTGCTTAAGATTGCTGATTTTGGATTGGCTTCTTTCTTTGATCCTAATCACAAGCACCCAATGACTAGTCGAGTTGTTACCTTATGGTATCGACCTCCTGAACTTCTTCTTGGAGCAACTGATTATGGAGTAGGTGTAGACCTCTGGAGTGCTGGGTGTATACTGGCTGAGTTATTAGCTGGGAGACCTATTATGCCTGGCCGTACAGAGGTAATTGCTTTCTTTCCTGTTTAGCTTCATAGCTTAGATTCCATTTTCATCATGTGAAATGAGGAATAAGTTTGTCTCACTATCTCTATTGCATTTAATTGTTCTCAATGACTTCAGGACATCTGGCGTTCATATGGATAATTTTTTAGTGCCAATGTTGTTCGAGTTCTGATCTTCACTTTCAAACATTTCTTGTCTAAGTACTATTTTTCCTGGACGTATAAAGTATTTCATTATGTTCTTGTTTGATTTGGTAATAAGTTTCCAGGGATACTTTGGTTTGAGAACGTGCACTTGAAGTAACTTTTGCAAGAAAATCATGCTCATGAACTGTATTTTATTATTTTTTTTTAATAAGAGATAACTTCATTGATATTTGAAATTTACAAGTGGGATGTGTTATCCATTATGCTTATAAAAGATCTTCTCAATTTAGAATGAAGGAGGTATGACGGTAGGAAGCAATTTACCCAAGATATGGCGTAGTAAACAACATTTTCTAAGAGTCTATTATAAGTCTATGTCTTCTTCGTGGATACTCTTTGATTTCTTTCTTTCCATCGATTCCAAAAGGAAGCCATAATAAGATTTGTCCATAGCAGGGGTTTTTGCATTCTTGGAGGGATGGTACATTAAGGCCATGTCTAATAACTCTTTTACTTCCCTAGGAAAAGCGAGGTGCCATTTGAAAATATTGAGAATCTTTATCTAGAAATTATGAGCACATGTGCACGGCATAAATAAGTGGTTTTGTGATTCGTTGTCTTCTTGCATAATGGCCACCAACTTGGAAATAGAGTCATGTAGGGCATTTGTTTTTTTTTTTTTTGGGTAGATTTTCACTTGTGCTAATGACTTTATGCACTATTTTCTATAGGAAAAAATTCACCTTTTTAGGGTGTCCTTTCCATACTGTCTTTGGGGTTATTGCTTCTACCGTTTCCCCCCTCCCCTTCATCAAATATTTTGTTAAGAAGACCCTATCAATGCTATGATCCCATTTCAATGAGTCTGCCTTTTTTTAGACAATATAATTGGAGCAAGGTCAAGGCTTAATTTTGCCCATTCCGTAGCCTTGTTATCCTTTAAGTTCCTACCAAGCTTCAAGTCCTATAATTTGTTGACATCTTGCCATGTTTCTTTGGTCGTTGCAATGAGAGAGTCTATACAAAAGTGGATCCTGCAAGACTAGTGTGTGGTTGTCAATACAAGGGTTAGTTCAGAACGATATGCTTCCTCCATCATGCACCCTATGGTGAATTTGGTTGGTAATGAGCTTTTGATGCTTTTTTATATACTTCCATGGCCTCTTTGCAGAAGGTGGAGGGGATCGATTTGTACATGATGTGGGAGTATATTTCGTCTTAATAAGATTTCTCCACAAGGTGTTGCCTTTGTGATAATATCTCGATATCCATTTGGCTATGAGAGTTCTATTTTTCTCCTTTATTGAATGCAAACCGAGTCCGCCCTTGTTTACCAAGAGATTTATGGTATCCCATCGGATAACGTGTGGGTCATCTTTCCACAAATAGTTTCGGAATAATCTTTCTATTTTTGTAGCATTTTGAATAGAAACATTTAGCAAGTGGGACGGTTGGAATATGTGACTTGTATTAGGGTGAGCTTTCCGCATTTAGAAGTGTAACATGATGACCATGTTGATAAGCGTCTTTCTATTTTTATCAATAATGGTCTTGGGTGAGCTTTCCGCATTTGGAAGTGTAACATGATGACCATGTCGATAATCTTCCTTCGATTTTTATCAATAATGGTCTCCCGGGAGGAGAAGGATGTGTGGTTTCCATTTAAGGGCAGTCCTTAGTACATATTTGGCCATTCACCCCTTTTACAACCGAATTTGTTGGGAAGCCTTCGATAACCTCTATACTAATATTAGTGCCCCTAATCATTTTTTTTTTTTTTTTGAAGGGTGATGTTTTGTCCTAAGAATCTTTTTTAAGGTTTTCACCCTCTCAAACATGTTTTTTTTTATGGAGGACAATTCAGTGAAGAGGATTGTATCATCTGTAAATTGAAGGTGGTTGATACTTAAGCTCTCGTTACTCACCTAAAAGCCATTTATCTGCCCTTGGTTTTTTTTCTTGGTGAGTAAGCGACTAAGACAATCCATTACCATTATGAAAAGAAAAGGAGATATTGAATCCTCTTGTCGAAGACCTCGTGAAGCATAGATCTTCCCTCTTGGCTTCCATGGATGATTATGAAGAAGTTTGTGGATGAAATGCAACATTTTACCCACACCCACCATTTTGAGCCAAAGTCATTTGCTACAAGAATTTTTTCGAGGAAAGTCCAATCGACCTTGTCAAAAGGTATTTTCAAGTCAAGTTTGATGACTAAACTTTTTTATTTCTTCCTTTTCCTTTTGTCTATAAGTTCATTTGCTGTTAGGGATGCATCAAGGATCTGATGTCCCTTTATAAAAGTTGTTTGCTGCTCAATGATCGTGAAAGGGAGAACCCTTTTAAGACGTTCTAATAGTACCCTTGCTATAACTTTGTATAGTCCCGTCGTAAGACTTATGGGGTGAAAGTTAGTAACAGTGTGGACATTCATTTTCTTTGAGATCAAACATATGTATGATTCATTTATGTTACTAGGTTAATTCCATTTTGAAAAAAAAAATCTTGGGACACTCTCTTGATATCGGCTCTAAGAATGTTTCAACATCTTTTAAAGAATTATGAGGTAAAACCATCTGATCTGGGATTTTTGTTGGAGCTCAGTAACTTTATCGCCTTCCCTACCTCTTCTTTGGTGAAAACAGCCTTGAGGGAGGCCGCTTGTTGTTGATCAATTGGGCTCCAACCAAGATTGGGGTCAATGAGGATATCATCATTTGCTTATAAAAGCGTGTAAAAGGACATAAATTCTGAGACAATTTCATTAAAGCTTTTGCCTTGTGTCAATATAATTTCCTTGATGGTGCTTTTTGGTTTCTTTGAGGCCATGATACGATGGAAAAATTTAGAGTTTATGTCGCCCTCTTCCTGCCATTGATTTTTTACAGTCTCCAAGATTGCTCTCCTTTGCTACCAATGAGATAAGTTTTGCTTTCATGAGCTTTTTATGTGAGGGTTGAACTAATTGACAGATCCAATTTCCTCCACCTGATTAGAGAGCAATTCTGTCAGGAGATTGATTCTTTTTGTAGAAATACAACCGAAAATCTCCTTGTTTCATTTCTTGAATACTGCTTCTTGCCTTTGAGTTTGAATCAGTTGAGTTTGTTGATGAGAAGATTATATCTGAGTTTGAGACAGTTTCCTCCATTTGATCAAGGAGAGCAAAACTGCATTAATGTATAAGGTCTTGAGTGCGTGCATTGCCATATCCCATGTAGATCATCATGAGAAAGCATGACTTAATATCAGGCAAAATAGGAACATTACGCCTTTGATAGGTCATTTTATCTCCAGTTTTCGTTTCAGTGATAGAACTCCTCTTTGATTGTGACCTTGCCTAATGGTGCCTGATACCATTACCATCTTGGCTTTGCTTTAGTGATAGGGTCCCTTAGATATGGTACATGAGCCTTTCAGTGTGATATAGGTGCTTTTTTGGTCACATTGTTGAATGTGGTTGACATAGATATGTTCCATTGATACCTTTGGTTTGCTAGATTCTTCTGTACAATCATTTTACCATTGAATGAATGTTTCGAATCTAAAACAGTTACCACCTTTTTTTTTATTGTAATCAAACATATGAACGTAGTCAGGAACATTGCATGGTTTAAACTTTTACATAGGTTGTTCTCGTCTTTTCTGAACTTAAATTTTTCTAGCATTCTCTGCCTGCTGTGTTTGCTGATTATGTTTTTGCTCACCCAGGTGGAGCAACTACACAAGATATACAAGCTTTGTGGCTCCCCTTCAGATGAATATTGGAAAAGAGCAAAGCTTCCAAATGCAACATTATTTAAGCCCAGAGAACCTTATAAAAGATGTATAAAGGAGACATTTAAAGATTTCCCGCTATCTTCCCTGCCCCTTATAGAAACGCTTCTTGCAATTGATCCAGTTGAACGAAAGACAGCAACAGATGCATTAAATAGCGAGGTAAGCTAAAAAACTATCAGAATAGATCTCATTTATGATTTTCACTTCTGTCATTAATCTGATCGAATATATGTGGTTTCATTTACTATGCACATCAATCTTCCCACTACATTCATCAATCAAACAAAGTTTTGTTGCTTCCTATGCCTTTTTCTGGTTTAGTTTCATCAAGACAGCGTACTATGTCATTTGCATCAATCTTGTCCTTGAAAATTTTGCTAGTTTTAATATAATTGTCTTGATAGTTTCTGCCGTTAATGAGTGTAAGCAAATTGGTGGTACTGCATGTTAGTCCATATTACTGCTATTTCAACTTTCCATTCTAACACCAACTCATCAACTACATGGACCATTGGGATTAACAAATTAAAGTATTGGGACCAAATTTGATCTCTCAAACGTATAATGTTGAAACTGACACAGATATAGGGGAATGAATGATAGAAGACTATAGATAATAAAATATCTTAATTTTTAATTGAAATTAAAATTTGATGAGAAATAACCATAGTTTATTAGATGTAAATTTGTTTGTTAAATGAAGTTTGAAGAGTTAAAAAAATGCACACGTGGTGATAAAAGTCATCATTACATTCACATGTTCTTGTGTTCGTTTTGTTTTTCTGTTTGTCATTCATTGCTGCATTCTTATTGAATATGAAACATAGGTAAATTTACTATCTTCAATAGTATCTAAAGTTATCATTATTTGTTTGATTTTAATAATTGAAATTAGTTTCATATCAGGAGTGTGGAATGTTAAGGAATATCTTCCCAAGGTGTGTGTAAAGGGATTCATTGGTTGGGCTATGAATAAGATTACATTTATTTGTTGGCCAGAAAGCAAAATAGGACTTTAGGCCTATTAGTTCCATTACCAATTTGTATATGATAATTCCTAAGCCCTTATTAATAGGAAGAAGTTATTTAATATCATCTCTATAAGCAACGGGTGTTAGTATCAGCCAATTTGGGTGTGCTTTTTTGAGTCCTTTGGGGTTTCTTTGGCTCGTAATATAGATTGCCAGATGTGACTGGAGGAGGTTGTGTTATTCACTCTCTTTCATGATAAGGACAGAGCTCTCTAGCAGGCTCTTTTCTTCATGGCCGTGTAGAGTATTTGGCTTGAGAGAAATGGTAGAATTTTTGGAGGGGTTGAGAGGTGTTGGTAAGTAACATGGAATAACATGATCTTTGACTTTTTTTCTTTTTTATAAGAAACTAATATATTAAAAAAGACAGAAAAGGAAAGACAACCAAAGGGCTGGGGGATGAGAACCCCACCTAAAGAGCAACTTACAAAGGCTTTCCAGTCATTGAAAATAAGAGAGAGAGTAGTTACAAAAGAATTTGCTACCCATGACGCCAGCATGAAGCATTCAGCTGTTCATAATCCCAAAAAAATACTGGAGTAGACTTTGAGGCAAACTTCCATAGGATTCTAGACTTTCCTTTCAGCTAAACATTAGGAGGCAATGCAAAAAGATGTGGTCCATGAACTCTTCATTCACCAAACATAGAGAGCAAGTAGAGGGACATAAGTCTTTTATGATTGTTAATCTTGAAGACTGATCTTGAAAAAAAAAAAGATGTATGATTTTATTGATTCATCCTTTTTGGTTAATGTGTTGTGGAAAAGGAAAACATGAGTGTGTAATTGGTGAATGAAGGTGCATGTGGAAACTGGAAAATGATTTTGCAATCCTAGTTTTCTCAATTTCATTCATTGTTGTCTAAGGGATCGAACTTGTGTTTGTTTTTGGTTGATCATCAGCTATGGAAAGTTATTATCCCTAAGAAGATTAGGTTCTGGCGGTTTACAAGGGGATTTTGAATCCATAATTGTATGCTGTAAGCGGGCAATGAAGATGTGTACCACATTGTTTATGGACATCAGGGACGATTTTCTTTCGTTATTTTGGCTCTTAGTAGAAATTGTTGGTCTATGTTGGAGGAGAGGCCTTTCTACAATCACCATTCAGTGGTTGGCATAGGGAGATTGTTGTGGTAGGCTTGCCTTTTTGGCCATTATTTGGTTGGAAAGGAACTGGAGATTTTTAAGTGTGGAGAAACTGGGACCATAAAAACTCTTCCACCTTTTTTTGGCTTCTAGACTTCAAATCAGCAGAATCAGTGGGCCTGAAGGGGAGCTCTAACCTCCAAGCTCTTCAAAAAAGCTTATTTAGAAGTAGAGCGGATCATGAAGCCAAATCCTTTTATCCTCCAAACTTCCAAGCTCAAAGACATCAATGGTATTTATTAACCCTGTCCAGCTTTGAATCTCTCTATCAAATAGGCCTCTACAAAAGCCCGAGTCCCAGGTATTCTGCGTCTCATCCCAACAATCTGCTAAGACTTTCTCTGCGGGATGTTATAAAGATCAGGATAGACACTATCAAGAGGGTTACTCCAATCCACTTATCTTTCCAAAACCTCATCCTTCGACCATTACCAGCTTGTAGACTTAATGAAATTAAGAAACAGGGCAGTATTTTTTGCAATATCAAACCAGGGTCTTCCATGGGCACTTCCTTTTGGAGGGAGGGAAAACCACCCATGATTGTCGACTCCATACACACTTCCTATAACCTTCTGCCGTCAAGTGCCTTTTTCATTTGCAAATCCCTATAACTATTTCAATGGGAGCATTGTTTCTCTGTTAAAAGGAGCCGGTCCCTAGACATCCATAATGAATATGAAAAGAAGTCCATTCCCAATTAACAATGTGTCGACATATTTTAAACTCCTCTCCATCCCAAAAGAAGTTTCTTACCAAACGGTCCACTTCTTTAATCACACCCTCTGGGGCTTTAAGGAGCGATAAATAATAAAGGGATACTTGAGCTAACGTTTCTCCCTCCTTTAGATAAAAGAAGCCCGTGCCATTTTTTCAATTTTGACCTGAATTAATCCACAATAGGATCCCAAACCTCGAGGTATCTATGGTTACCCCAGGACAAAGCTCAAGTAATTAAAAGGAAGGACCTCTATTTTGCAACCCAGAAAATCAGCCTTCCCCAGAATCTACCTCTTCATATCCAACTTAGCGAGCTAATATGCCGTGTGCCACCCAAAAAAAAAAAAAAAAAAAAAAAAAAAAAAAAAAAAAAAAAAAAAAAAA